ATCTGAAGATAATGTGTGACCTTTAGGTACATGGTTTAATGGATGCCAATGCCATGTAAAGTGCTTTAGCTGGGTTCGTTTTGGGGGAATAATTGGTTTATGTTGGGGTTTTACTTGCTGTATATGTTCTTAATATGTTGGTCAGAACCTGAAACATAAATTGAAGTTGATAGACTCCAACTCAACTCCATATATTATCATCTTTGTTGATTTGTGCAATCTAATTGCATGAAAATTTGGTTTAATAAGATATGCTATCTCCATCACATAAAATCTTGTGTTTGGCTTTTGGGATTTATTGTTGAAAAATGAACAAAAATATGGTTGACTAAAAATATGGCTTTTAGTCACAACTTTTTTTTATAAAAAAGAAAATCGAATTTTTCATTGTATAACTGATTACTTATTTCAGCTTAAGGTCTTGTAAACACTTGAACAAATGCATCTTTCTCTATCTGTTTTTTAATTTGAGACACACTTCTACAGTTCTACTAAAGTGGATAATTAGGTATTTGAAATCTAACTAATTGGCTACTTTTTAATGAATTTCTCTAAAATTAAAACTTGATATGCAATACAGACGAACATTTTGGTACAATCTAGACGAACAATATGAGTAAAAAATCATTGGGATAGAATTTTACATTGATACAAATGAATGGATAAAGTGGGTCAAAATATGTTATGGTATCATGACCAATCATGTATGAACTAAAATGATTCTCGATGAATGAGAAGAGTCATGCTAGAAATCCATTAGGTTTGGCATTAAGCGTTTTATAGGCTATAATATTTTGTGTTATAGATAATGATAGTCTTTCTGCAGAATATTTGAAGACAAATTTAGTGATATTCTAGCTATTTTAGAGATTTCGTTCACACTTATATGTAACACATTTCATCACTCAAGTCCAATGGAAATGGATGGACAAATAGGCTAAACAATGAGTAAGAGAATTGTTTCAAAATTAAAGGCAAGGGAAGTGATTATTTAAGGAACTTTAAGAATGGGTAGTTTGAACCTTAAAACAAGAAGAGTTTATGTTGGCTTTCTGATCATCGAGATTAACAAGCTTCGAGAACTGAATCGAGTTTCAGTTTGGCTTGTATTAATAAACTCTACACTAACTTAAACTTAACAAGTGTCTAGTCAAATTGGACAATAATAAAGCTTGGTTTCAAAACTTTTTATCCATTTTTCATTTCATCGTATTACAGAAAAAATTAAAAGTAAAAAAATATATAACTAAAATACACGACGTAATTAGATGTGAATGAAATCAAGCGAAAATGTTTATTACTCCCTCCGTCCTAGAGTATTTGTCCACTTTTGACTTTTTTCGATCAAAATTGGTAAACTTTGACCTCAAATTAAATAAAAATAATATTTGATATTGATACAAAAAGAGTTTTATTAGATTTATTATATCAAATATTTTCAAAATATTATTTTATTTAATTAAAATACAATATATATTTTATTTATTTATAGGTTAAAGATTGAAAACAGTTGACCGAAAAAATCAAAACTGGACAAATACTCAAGAACGGAGGTAGTACTTAGAAAGAAAACAAGGTAAATAGGAAGTGTTTTTTAAACAATTATATTTATTCTATTCGATCACAAAATCTTTGGCGAAACATTGATTCTTTGTACGTCATTAGATTGAGAATAATATAATAGATACTAATATAGCCAATAACATTCAAAAAAAAGTTTAATCACAAACACTAAAAATTTTGTTTTGTTTTTTTTTTCATTTTAGCCAAGAGTAACCCAAAGATATAATCCGACCTCTGCAACTTTGGACTGCAAGCTGAGGTGAAGTTGAGAGAGAAAAAGCAGAGGCGATGACGACGCGTATTGCTCCGGGTGTTGGGGCGAACCTTCTCGGCCAACACTCCGCCGAGCGCAACCAAGACGCCACCGCCTACGTCGGCAATCTCGATCCTCAGGTTTCCCCTAATTACATAGGGTTTTACTCTTCCTAACCATTTTTCCGCGCAAATTGAGAAGAATCTATGGAAATTAGACTTCCATAGAAACCCTATTCCAGTCTAGGGTTCTCGTATGAATGAATGTCACATTTATGGAAGATGAAGGCGATAATTAGCGGATAACAGTTGACAATTGCAATTTCAGTTTTGAGGAATACCTGAGCGAAGTATTATTATTTTTTTATTTCCTCTCTCGTTCGGCCGCTAGTTGAGAAAACAATCTTAGTATATCTGAACAAGTGTTAGTTAGTAGAACAAAATAGTGAGATTTAAGGAGGTCAGACTACTTCATTGCTTTAGTTTTCTTTGAAATGCATGTTCCATGTGTTTGTGTTTCCCTTCTTTCTTCCCTTGTGCTCCCAGTTATGTTTCTCAATGGTGACCTGCAAAATTGCATTGTTTGTGTGGTTAAATATACATTTTTCAATGGTGACCTCTGCAAAATTGCATAGTTTTCTTTGAAATGCATGTTCCATGTGTTTGTGTTTCCCTTCTTTCTTCCCTTGTGCTCCCAGTTATGTTTCTCAATGGTGACCTGCAAAATTGCATTGTTTGTGTGGTTAAATATACATTTTTTTTCTCTCTTAATACCCAGAAATTAAGCAAACTCTGTATGAGAAAGAGATTATACATTCATAGGGTTAGGGACAAAACCCAAATCTGACTCTCTCAGAGTTTAGTTTTTTTTTCATACTCTCCACTTTGTGGGATTTTACTGTGTCGTTGTTGTCCAACTTCGGATTGCCTTCATTGGGTACAGTTCAAAACTTGTGTACAACAATCATTATTGTTTTCTCTGTTTGTAGGTTACAGACGAATTATTATGGGAGCTATTTGTTCAAGCCGGCCCTGTTGGTATGCTGTAACTTTAGTTATCTTGAACTGCAAACATAATTCCCTATTAATAGGACACATGATGAAATGAGCTTTGCATTCCATTAACATGGTTGTTTTGTTGGCTGCAGTCAATGTATATGTCCCCAAGGATAGAGTCACTGGCGCCCATCAAGGATATGGCTTTGCAGAGTTCCGGAGTGAAGAAGATGCGGACTATGTAAGCGTTCAAGCTGCTCTTGGCAGATTTATTCCATCAACTTAGTTTTATTTAATTTCAGTGACTAGCTGCTTTCTTGAATAATCCAGGCAATAAAGGTCTTGAATATGATCAAATTATATGGGAAACCTATCCGAGTTAATAAGGTGTGAGCTCCTTTGATTATATAATGTGACATATTTTGTAGTTAAATTTTCAAATCAAGTATCAGTTTCATTGTTGATCCACTTGATTGTCTGTCTTTTTAACTTTTTCTCCCCCCCCCCTATCTATCTTATGCTGTTTGTAGGCCTCACAAGATAAGAAGAGTGTCGATGTTGGGGCTAATCTGTTCGTTGGGAATCTTGATCCTGTAAGCAGTTGAGCATTAGCAATTTTTTTTACCTTTCACGTAGATATCTGCATTTAAGAGTTCAGTCTTTCGTTCAAGCATTCATTAATTTATAGTTTAGAGACTTTTTTATATCGATGGCATGTACAGTGAAAATTGTTAATTGAGTAAATTCCGCTTTCAATTTCTGTGCAGGATGTAGATGAGAAACTTCTGTACGATACATTCAGTGCTTTTGGAGTAATTGTTTCAAACCCAAAGGTTGCTTACCTCCTTTTCATTTTTTGAATTGTTATTTCTGCAAGTTCATCATACTTCTTATATGAGATGCATTTTTCTTGTTGCTTTCTAACATCTAGTTGTTTTTTTGCAGATAATGAGAGATCCCGAGACTGGGAATTCTCGAGGATTTGGTTTTATTAGCTATGATTCATTTGAGGCTTCTGACGCGGCTATCGATGTAAATATGCTAAAACTAGTTAACCAAAATAACCAATTTTTTACTTGCCAGAACTTGAAAGCTTTACCTCATTGAACTATGATTATTTTTCTAGGAAGGGTAGTGTAAAAATCTAAGATAACCAGCTATAAGCTTTGATAGTTCTTGCTGGGTAAAAGATTTCATATCTTTCTAGTCATCAGTGGTTATCTATTTTTGATTTTTTGATACTCCAGGCATTATTTTATTCGCTCTGGTACAAAATGCTTTCTTCATGTCACTCTCTATTGAAAAATGATTAACATATTGAAAGATAATTAATAATGGTGTCATCTGCTGTTTCTATAGGCGATGACGGGCCAATACCTTTGTAACCGTCAGATTACTGTTTCGTATGCGTATAAGAAAGACACAAAGGGAGAGCGTCACGGCACACCAGCAGGTTAGCATTTCAATTACTCACAAGATGTGATTATGTGCTGTTTTTATATGTATCTGCTGATTAATTTATTTTCATTTTCGCAAACTTTGGCCAGAGAGAGTTTTAGCTTCAAGCAACCCTAGCACGCAAAAGAACCGACCCCACACGCTCTTTGCAAGTGGACCTCCAACACTCCCTCAGATCGGACAAGCCAACGGTACTGCTGCCGCCCCACCTCCTCCGCGGCCTTTTGCAAGCAGCCATGTCCCCCCGCCTCCAATTCCGGCGATGCGTCCGCCGCCTCACATGCAGCCACCGCCTAATATGTACCACCCTCCCATGCAAATGGCCCCGCCGCCACAGCAATGGCAGGGTCAGCATCCACCACAACCAGGCATGGTGCAGCAGCAGCAGATGCAGCAGTTCGGAGGGATGGCTGCACCGCCACCGCCGCCGCAAGTGGCTCCGCCGCTTAACAGGCCTCCACCACCCCCTATGGGAATGGGTGCTCCTTCTCTCTGGCGGCCACCTCCTCCACCACAGCAACTTAGCGGTGGCGGTGGCCACCATTCTTTCCCTCAAATGCCAATGCAGCCACCGCCGCCTCCCAACTAATCCATCCTTCGGGGAATACGATGAGCTGAGCATTGGCAGGTTGGAGAAATACTATTTTCTCAGAGACCATACCAAATGAATGTGATATATTGGGTTTCCTTCCAAATCGATGCTCATGCCAATCAGGGCAATATAACTTCCGTTTTTTATACGTTTGAGGATAAATTTTTGAATTCATTTGGCAGTTAAACTCCTTTTGGGATTTAGAGAGTGTACTATTTAGTGGTAGCATTACATTACATTACCTTTGGTAAGGAAAAAAAACGCCAAAGTTTGTCTTTTGGATGGGGGAGTTAATTGCTTCAGAACTGACACCACCCCCAAACCCATAGATTAACTATGCAATGCACCAAACTATCATGATAATCAACGTGGGGGTTCATTTTTTAGACAATCCAAGTTCAGAATTTTTGCCATAGTAATAGTAAATAAAGTAGGTGTATCTCTGTACTTGTAAGTTGATCAAAATTATTTATAAGCAATTTTTAACCTATAATTCAGTTGATGATATGTTTCTGTGTGCTTATAAGTTGCTTTTGAGTTAGAAAAAATATATAGGTCTTTGTTACTTATTTTTAAGTTCATTTTTTTGTTTCATCGTTATAACCAGATTGTTTACAAAATTGTTTCTCACTATTTATGAATATTTAGAAATAATTTATCTATCATTTAAGTTATTATACTTCCATAAAAAAATATTTGACTTATAAGGGCATCTCCAATGCATCATTTAAAACAACTAAAAAACATTTAATAGCTGACACTGTAGCTTTTTGACGCCTTTTATGTGCTCCAACGGGTATTCCATAATTTGGAGGGCAAGCTATTTGTCAGACTCCATCTTTCATAAATAGAAGTTCACTGTTGGTCTTCTATTATTAAAAAAATTATAAAATAATGAGATACAATAGGTGATTAAGTGTGAAGGGCCCCAATTGCAATCAAGTGAATGGATACACGTTTGAGGAGAGAGAAATGAAAAGTAAAACAAACAATAAAAAATAAAGATATGCATGATGCCGTTGGAGTGGGGTGGTTTCCCTAAGAGGGAAAAATTTTTGAATATAATTCCTGAGTGGGAAAGGTAAATTCTTGAGGAGGAAAATCGGCTTTTGGCAATCTGATTTTTTTTTTTATTTTTTTTAATGGATTTCGGCTTTCATAAAGCCATTTTCTTTTTTTCTTTTTGAATTAATTTTTTTCGGCTTTTGAAAAGCCATTTCAGGATTTATTCCATTTAATGCATGCGCAGTGCATGCCTGCGTAGTGCGCACTCCCCCCTTCCCCTTTCTCCCTTTCACACTCCACCTCTCCCTATTCCCACATTTAATCCCTTCAACTACTACACCTCTCAACTTTACTACAAATAATCAAATCTCTTCCTTCTTTTTACACAAAATATATAGTCTCTTCAACTACATCTCACATTCTTTCTCTTCTTTTCTCACTAAATATTCAAAATTTATCTATTCTTCCATAATCATCCAAGAAGTTGAGGTATGTTTTCTTAGAATAATTCTTTATAAGTTTTTTAAATATGTAATACATATTTTTTTTACAATTTGTAATGCATATTTTTTTTAAATTTTACAATGTGAAATGCATTTTTTTTAATTTTATAATATGTAATGCATATTTTTTTAAACAAGATTTTTTTAACCATTTTATTGTACTATGAGTGAATAGAAGCTTACTACAATTTTTTTTGAAGCATAATGTATGATTCTGAGAGAGAAATAGCGGGTCCTAGATCGAGGGACATTCTTACTTTACAAGCTACACATCGTTCGCGTGAGGTGTGGCATAACCCGAATTTTATAGACAACAAAGTCTCTCCGGTTCGCTACGAAGGTAGTCTTCCTACGGTTTTTTTTAGGATAGAGTTTATGAAATGTTGCACCGATCAGGGTTTTATGGAGTGCACCGTGTGCAACCTATCCGATTAGACCATGGTCTAATCACTTCTCTTGTTGAGCGCTGGAGACCGGAGTTACACGCATTTCAGTTTCCTTTTGGTGAGATGGGTATCACCTTACAGGACGTGGAATGCTTACTAGGACTTCCGATTGATGGACTCCTCGTCATGGGCTTTGATTTAACCGTTGAGGAACGGAATGTCTTATTTAGAGATGTTTTGATGTGGAACACCGAAGACACCCATTTTGGTCGTTTTGACCAATTCAAGATTGCCTAAGAAAAACTCCCTGTTTGGTAAGTTGGTTTATTACTTACCGGACTAGTCTACCACCGAGTTATATGGCGATCTGAGTATATACGAATATACCCACCAAATAATAAAGGTCTAAGAAGCCGTATGTACGCACCAATTGATTTCGTAAGATACTTACGAGATTTTAATGAAACATCTACTTTTAGTTGGGGCTCTGCAGTTTTAGCGCGATTAAATTTTTCGCTCTGTAAGGCTGCGTTGAAGACTAACCCGCGAACGCGTCCCGGGGGTTGTCTTCTTCTATTGCAATTATGGGCGTGGACTCGGATTTTGACCATAAGACCGATACTGAATAATGTGCCGAATAATCCACACGGGCCTCCCCGCGAAGACGACCCATTTGGTGCACGGTATTTAATTGCATTAATTTAGATTATCGAGGTTATAATTTTTTTCTATAATTTTATTCAAGTTGCTATACATTTATTATTATTCAGGTGGAGACAGACCAAGATGTACAGTGCCTCTGCTAGGCAAAATGTACGCTACTTTAGGAATGAGCTTGACTGCTTGCAGTTCCGAAACGTAAGATTAATATTCATAAAATAATTTAGAAAATAATTTGTAAAAAAATAGATCAGAGATTGACTAATAATAGTTCTGACAATATACAGGTTGTTTGGCAACCGTACGATATTGATAACTTGCCTGCTTATTGTCGTCGTAGTCCTCAACTATGGACTTTCCAAGGCTATGTTATTTATCGTTCGATTATTGAGCCTGTCATGCCTATGCGATTCACACGACAATTTGGGATGTTGCAAATCATTCCTGAGCTTACCCATCCGTATACGGAGGCCTATCATAAACCAAAGGGATGTAAATCGACCCAGACGGTACAAGCATGCGTGGCGCAATGGAGGGATAATCGCTTTGCCCTTACCGTTTTCCATGAAATGGAGCCCATTGTAGGAGAGAATCCATTCCAAATTACCGTGGAATATGCTAACTGGTTTGCAAGGTACGGTCGGCGTATTATTGGAAACCCATATCATCGACCTCTAGAAGGATCTGAAAATACTTCTGCCAAACTTGCATTCTTGGTAATTTAGAAATTATAAATATTTACTTATAATAAAATAAATCCTTCACTAACTAATTTTTTTCGCAGGTGAATACAATAAAGAAAGCGGAGCGTCGACTCGGTAAAGTTCCCGGAGCGGTTGCAGCAGAGGTTCGAGAAAACCTTAGGGGTGCTTTAGAAAACTTTGACCCCAACGAAAATGAGCTTCTTGAAGACGAAGAAATGCATGGAGACGAGGATGAGTTTGATGCTAACGAGGTCGAGACTGGTCCATATTTCCCACAAACTTACATTACTCAACCCGGACAAAGTACCCAAGAAGATCTTTTTGGTGCGACACATTTTGACACACGCAATTTGGGTGGTGATAACTTCGCATCCTCGTCCATGCCGCATGACTATGAGAACAGCCTGGTGATGGATTATTGGTTCAATCGTGGATTTAATTAAATTTATTGTAATCATGGATTTTTGTAATTTATAATTTCTATTATCGTGTTCGTTCGCAGGGGGAGACGATTGCAGATGAAGTTATTGACAACCCTGACTCTGATGATGATGAAGAGTACATTCCTTCGGACGATGACATTGACACAGAAGAACATTGGATCCATGAAATGGAAGCTGAAGCTGGTGTAAGAGGAATTTCTGGTGGCGTGTCTGATGGCCTTCTTGCAATAGGTATGACCTTTCCCAATTTTGAATCACTTAAGGATGCAGTTACAAAACAATGTGTGGCGAACAATCGTTTTTTTCGAAACGAATACAAAAAAGCGGGATCATGGGCATGTCGGTGTTGGTATTACAACAAAAGCCCACCCTGTTTTTGGCGTGTTCAAGCACAAGGATTAAAATCTGGAGTGTGGAAAATAAAACAATTGCGAGACGTGCACACTTGTCATCCGGATTATTCTCACGGTGGAGATGATTTAAACATCGATTATTTCTTCATTGCCCGGTTCATTGTCGGAAAAGTACGTGTAGATCCTGAGTACAAAGTGAAGTTAATCCAACATGATGTTTTACAGGAATTTCATGTTCCTGTGTCGTATAAAAAATGTTGGTTAGCTCGGATCCGTGCTACAGAGTTGTTGTACGGTAGATGGGAGAATTCGTATTCTCAACTTCCTATTATGTTGTACAATTTACAAAATTCTTATCCAGGAACTGTAGTCGATGTTGTCTATGCATCCGAACCACCAAACCTTAATGCTACACCTGAAGAGACCCCGCGCTTTAAGTATGCATTTTGGGCGTTCGCCGCGGCAATACATGGATTACAATACTGCATGCGTGTAGTGACGGTGGACGGAACTCATTTGTATGGAAAGTACAAGGGTCATCTCCTTCTTGCGGTTGCCATGAATGGTAATCGTGAAATATTTCCTCTGGCTTATGCGGTTGTTGACGGAGAAACGTGTGAGAGTTGGGCTTGGTTTTTTCGCCTTCTTGTTCAGAGGGTTATCGGCTCACAACAAGTCTGTATTGTTTCTGACAGACATATTGGGATCATCAACTCCTATCGTGACCTTCCAGAACTACAGACCGGATTGATAATGAAACGTTTTTGTCTTCGCCACGTTCGGAGCAACTTCATGACAAAGTTCCGGAACAGTGATCTTAAAAATTTGGTTTGGGCCGCTGGTAGTACACATAATATCCAACAATTTGAAGGATATATGGCTGAAATACGAAACATGAGTGAGGAGGGATATCAGTATTTAAATGATATTCCCCGTGCGGCATGGACCCTTTGTTTTGATGGTGGGTTTAGGTGTGGTATCTTAACGACANCATGTCCTATGCCAAGATGGTTGAATTGTTTGCTAAAAGGTACAAGCTTGGTATTCAGTGGCAAGAACAGAGCATGCACATTACTCCGAAAATTAAAAATGTTCTCCTTAATCGGGAGAAAACTAAGCACAAGTGGACAGTCTCAAGCTACGGTAACAACCAATACGTAGTGACTCACACATCTCGAACAAATCCTTCTTCCATTTACAACTACTTGGTCAATTTGTTTAATAGTGTATGCACTTGTGGGCAGTGGACTTCCGATAATATACCCTGTGTTCATGTTCATGCTGTTTACCACTCTTTTCGACAACAAGTTCCTCACAACATATTACCGGCTAGGTACTCGGTTCAAAACTATTTGAGTTGTTATAGTGGTATAATTCAACCTGTTCTTTTCCCTCAAAATTTGGATGTTGGCAACTTTAAAGTTCTACCTCCCAAACGGCCAACAGATGAGATTCCACGTTCTGGGAGACGTCAACGCAATCGATACCAGGGCGAGATGGATTTCAGGGCAAGGAGATGATTTTAGTTTAATTTTTTTTTAGTTTGTTTCAGGGAAGGTATTGTAATTCTTGTTACTTCAGATGTTGAGAATGTAATTTTCTGTTGATGTTTTAATATATTTATGTTTTCAATATTGCGTTCTTTTTCTTGTTGAACATCTCTTTATTAAATTTTTATTGGTTGATTTTTTTTAAAAACAAATTATATATTGAATCATAAAAAATATTTCTTTTTATTATAAAAAATAGTTTATGAAATGGCACAATTTTTTTTAAACGTAAGTGTGTATATTTTATGCAATGAAAAAATCATGAAAGCCATTTTTTAAAATTTTTTTAAACAAAAAACGGCTTTTACAAAGCCAATATTTTTTTTTTACAAAAAACGGCTTTTACAAAGCCAATTTTCAAAAAAAAAAAATTGTAAAAAGCGGCTTTAGTAAAGCCGATTTTCTGTCTGAGGAATTGCCTGCACCAAAACTTCCCTCTGCGGGAATTTATTCGTTGGAGTGTGAGAATCAAAATCAACTGCTATAACACTGTGAATCATCTACTTTAACATTTAGCTGACCATTTTTTAAAGTATGCCTTGGAGTTGCTCTAAGTAGTCTATAAGTTAAAAATTAATTTATCAATAAGCAACATCAAAGAGGAACACTCCCAAAATGGGCTCATCCTAAAAGCTTCCAGCTACATGACAATATGTTTGGTTTGAGAAATTAGTAAGAAAAAAATATAAAAATATCTATCTTTTATCCTTCAAAATTGAAGTAAATTTGCTTTCTTAGCTGCTTTTATTCGTTCCAATTTTCTTTTCTCAATTTCTCCTCCTAACCAAACATGAAACATAGAGGATAACCCGCACGGGTAGCCCAAGTGGCAAGCACTTAGTGAAGTTTGGAGAATGACAAAGGATCGAAACCTGGCAGCGACCGTTGTGAGGGCGACCACCTCTGAAAAATGGGGGGAGTCTCTAGTGCGCACTAGGATATGGTCTAGCTAAGTGTTGTGCTTGGGTCACCGTGATTTACCTCCTCTCACAATCCCGTCGGGTCGGGGGTGAGGGGCGCCCGGGGTGAGCGATTTCACCTTTTGGAGAATGAAACGAGGAGGATTGATAGTACATTCAAATCGGTTCAAATATGTATGATAAGGTAGGCCCAATATACCCTTCCCAATTTGGTAATGATGATGTATTCAAACTTGGACCATCAAAACCTATTCAGGCTTAGATCGCTTAAGCGAATCTAGCACACGTAAAATAAGTCGGACAATCCGACCCAAAGATGAGTCCCTATCATGTGGTGAAATGCTAATGACATATTGCTGCTTCATGACTCTCATATTCTCTTTCGTTCTCTTACAAAAGTCTTGTTTTTATGCCATAATTCCGGTGGATTGACATCTATCATTGATATAACAATATCAAAAACTTGCACAATGACTTCTTTGGGGATTTTTTTTTGGGGGGGGGGAGTCTCATGTATAGGCTTGTAAAAAAATTCCTCTTAGGAAAAAAGAGGATACCATAATAGTGTCATAACTCATGAGTACTAATATCATCTATGCATTGACAACTTTCATTGAGTTACAAATCAAAAGTTATGATGCTCTCAGCGCGAAGCGTAGGGGGTTTTGTCGGCTCGTCCAAGTTGACGGATGCAGATACCTGTTGAGCAAACAAAAAAAGTTGAGCTTTACCACCCATCAGATTTAACAATGAAATGGGCAAACATATATATTCAAGGACTAACCAGTAACAATACCTGCAAACCAGAAGTTATAGAACCATGACCATACCACATTCAAGGTATAAAAGATGTCTTCAACTACTGTTTTAGTGTTTTTTTATCATTTTAAATGAATGCCTTGAACAAATTTGTTTATCTATAAGACTAACTTCTGGCTTCATAATCATAAGGCAGGCGAAACGATTCAGCAACGAGGCATTTGGTACTTTCCCCTTGAAAAGTAGTGATTGTGGAAGACCTTCACACTTTTCATCAAAGTTAGAGAAGTTTAACCTAATTTTGACCGCTTTTCACACAAGCTCAACACCGTATTTTGTAAATGGGAATCATGCAACAGCCACGCCACGGATAACACCAAGGTTGATACTGCCAGTGTTTCAAAGAGAATGACCGATTATGCGTGATTGTCTCTAGTGGTGTCAACTTGGTATCATTTTCCTTCTACAAACAGGGGAAGTAACTTACTTCCAATGGGGGAATTGAATTCATTCCATTATCTAACAAACAAAACCCTAACTACAGACATGGATAAACTGAACATTTTCTGCAATGAGAAGACCAAGAAATAGAGATACCTTAAAGTTGCCATCCATACTTGTATTCCTGCACCAATCCACCTCCAAAACCTTGCTAGAACTCTGATACGAAGCCCTCACCAAATCACCATCCAAAACCCTCCTGGAAATCGAAACGTCCCACGAATTATTCCCAAAATCATAGCTGGGCTCAAACGTCACCAATCCGCCCCAGTGCTTGTAGCTGTGTTTCACCTTGCAATTCCCAGTATTAGCCTCGAAGCTGCCGGATAACTTGTTCGCCGAATCGATCACCAATGTTCCATCCAGTTGGATCCGATTGTCGCCCCTCCAGTGCGAGTACGTCAAATTCACCTGCTTCCTCAAAAGCCTGACGGAATTCATGAACTGAAACCGCACATCCTGTACAATTCAAGCTTTTCGCTGTGAGTACAGAGATACTGATCTATTACTATGCTGAATAAACAATCGGGAGAGTATAGGATAAATTCAATCGACCTTCTTCGGAATACTGTAGTCGACGACGAAGGAACCGGGCTTTTCAACCGAGAGCGAGAGGTCTTCGAAGGCGGGACTGGTTGTGAAGGTGGCGTTGGCTTTGAGCTCGACGTCGCCGGCATTGACGATTGCGGAGGCGACGGCGCCGTTGGTGCCATTCTCGTAGCGTCCTCTGACCGAAGTTCTTATCATTTGCTCAATGGGAAATTGGGGGAGGGGGAGGAGCGACGAGTGGTCGGGGCGTAATTGGTTCGTACAGAGTAAAAAGGGAGTAACATTTGAATTTTGAACGGCGTTTACAAAAAAAGTGAAAATTGCACTAAATAGGATTAAAACATAATGACTTTTAGTACTTAAACTTTTTTATTCCCTAAATAGGACTTAATAATGACCTTGTGGGAGAAATAATATCTAGTAATGATGGACATTTACTTGAATAATGACTACTTGATAATGACCAAATGTCCTATACTGAGAAATAAAAACATATGGTCCTATATTGGGAAAGTCATTATGTTTTAGTCTACTTGGCTAACATTGGTCCAGTCTCTTAAGCATGGCAAACCGCATCAAAGATCGGGGGCCCACCCCGCCGCTCATCCATTACGAGGCATACAGTGAAAGGGATGTTTGTCATCTTGCAAGGCTGATTGGATTGAGAATATCCATCTTACAGTCTTTGATTGAACAGTGTATTGGCTTGTAGCTACTAAAATCACTGATTGAATACTGATTACATTATGTACAGTGACCTTCCTCAGGGTTTCCTATTTTGTCCATAGATGAACAGGGGAAGGTCACAAATCATCTTCTATAAATATGATGAATATGGATAGAGGAGGGGAGGCAAGTTTTATCTCACTAAAAGTACACTCTTGAGACAGAGTAAGAAATATAATTCGGACTGAGGAGATTTACCCAGTCTAGGTCATACTTTGTGTTCTTGTTGTGTGTATTTTACTACGGGTCGAGTGTGTCCAGGTCAAACCCGATTAACCCACCCAACAATATTTACACCATCACACCACTTCTAGCCAGAGGCTCTGCCTCTTGCTGCCCCTTGAACCCTGCTCTCGGGGGCACTGACCTGGAACCTCATCCAAGGGGCGCCGCCCCCTTGGAACCTTCGTTACATAATTAGAGGCTAAACGAGACTTTTATCATAATGAACTCAACGAAACGTACACTCCACACCATGAAACTTTAATTCTTTGATGATTATTATGATAATATTAATCAAATAATTATTCCAATTGCACTAAAATATATAACAAATACTTCGTATGTAATATATTGATTTTGAATATGAATTAAATAAAAAATATATTGTATAATTGTATAAAAATGATTTTATTAAATTTATTTATTATTGAAAATTTTCAAAACCTTATTTTGTGATTACACTAAAATATACTCCAAATACCTAACTAATATACTGATTTTGAATATCAATTAAATAAAAAATATATTGCATACTGGTATAAAAACTTAATTTAATTTCAAAACTTTGTCATAGAAAATTTCAAACTTGAAAATATTTTTATTGAATAAAATATATATCCACTTATCACAATTTTTAAACGAGTATCACCTTTCGCTCATAATCTATGGGCCTGTTTGGGAATAGCATTAGAGATTAGCGTTAGCGTTTTGAAAAAGGCTATTTCCAGGCAGCGTTTATCGTTAGCGTTTTCAAAATAATCTGCACCGTTAAAAT